AAAAAAAAAAAAAAAGTACAGATGACACATGGTGAATAGATAGGGACTGCCCTGATGTTTGGAAAGGAAATGGCAACGAGACAGAGCCGGAGAACACTGCTTCCACCCAGAAGTAATCTAGATGCTTACAGTATTTGTTGTCTGAGCCTTGGAGACTAATGAAAAGCAGAGACCAGACTTGCACTCCGTGAGCTGCCCTCCCAGGCCCAGGAGAAGATCAGTGCCTGTGCTGTCTGTTGGGTAGCTGTGGCAGAAAGTGACTTTCTTTCCTATTTCTCAAACTGCCATGTGCACACTGGGATGAGTGTGTGGGGTGAGTGTGTGGGGCAGGAGGGGCCTGCCTCTAATCCCAGTGCCGTGTTCACACCCGGTACCACTTGTCCCTGGGGGAAAACTGGAAAGGACCACAATACCTCAGAGCCAAGTCTGGCAGATACTAAGCCAAGATCAGCCCAGCAGCCCAGCCCAATGTCCATGGGTCAGAAAATGCCATTTTTCATTGAGACACTGGGCTCCCTATCACAGCTTTCAAATTTTCCAGCTGTTCTTTACTTTGAAATCAGTACCAGGTGCCAGTTTTTAAAAAGCCACCTCCGCTCTCCCTCCTCAAACCCAACCTCAGAATCCAATATGATGCTCCATGGGGATACAAGTGTCATACCCACACCCCCAGGCACCATCTGAGTTCTCAAAGCATATTTAAATAAAACACATCTCCCTGTTTTAAATTTTAAGATAAATACTTGCCTCCAATACAAATCAAAGCCACAAGGAGATACCACTTCACAACCATTAGGATAGCCAATATTTAAGAAAAAAAAACAAAACAGAAACTAAATGTTGGTGGTATAAAGAGATTGGATCCCTTCTTTGTGCACTGTTGGTGGGAATGTAAAATGATACAATCACTGTGGGAAACAGGATGGTGGTTACTCAAAAAAATTTTAAATAGAATTACTATCTAATCCAGCAATTCCCTTCTGGGTATAGACCCAAAAGAATTAAAAAGCAGGATCTTGAAGAGATATCTGCACACCCATGTTCACAGCAGCACTATTCACAATAGCTACGAGGTGGAAGAGACCCTAATATCTACCTGCGGATGGATAGAGAAAATGTGCTGTATACATACAGTGGAATATTACTCAGCCCTAAAAAAGGAAATCCTGTCCTATGCTACAACATGGATGAACCTTGAGGACATAATGCTAAGTGAAATAAGCCAGACATATAGAGACCAATACTGCATGATCCCATTTATATGAGTTATCTAAAATAGTCAGACTCTTAGACTATGGTGGCCAGGGGCTGGGAGAGGGGGGAAGAGGGTGCTATTTGATGACTACAGGGTTTCAGTTTTATAAGATAAAAAGTTCTAGAGAGCTTTCACACAACATTGTGCAAATAGGCAACACTACTGTACTGTACACTTACAATGGATAAGATGGTATATTTTTGTGTTGTGTCTTGACAGAAAAAAAAAAGCTACACGGAAATGGCTGCTGCTGGGTGCCCCGCTTTTTCTCCAGCACCCGCATATAGTGGCTTACTGAATGGATGGTGCAGTCATTGTGTGAAACATGAGAAAAACAGCTCTGCGTGCAATGAATTAGAACAGGCCTACCCGGGCACAAGGGACCACAAACACCCCAGCTCTCTGCCTTCACGGCTCCCTTTGCTGAATTGTCCCGTGATCCTCACTGCTGTTCGTGTCCCCAGAGATGGCCCCTTCCTGATACTGACTTGCAGTAAGGCAGAAGCCTCTGGAAACAAATTCCCAGCCCCACAGAGGTTACCCTTCTGTGGAGAGAGATGTTTTCACAGGAGCAACCTCCAGCGGTGGGCGCCAGGTTCTCTAGAGCGTCGTGTGCTGTGTGCCATCAGGCCACTGCCTCCTCTGTCCTCAATCTCGACCTCAGGCTGCCCTGACTTTAGATGGATCAGTGTCTTCCCTCCTTCTCAGAAGAAGGTGACAAGCTTTCTGGCCTCCAGAGGCTGAGTTGTCCAGCCGGGGTCAGGCCTCCACGGCTGGAGGAATGTAGAGGCTGGGAGAGGGTCCAGGGCAGCTCTCGACAGTGATTAAAGGACTAGAAACCAAGATAAACAGCAGGGTTGGGCACCCTCAGCAGGAGCTACAATGCTTTCCAGTAGGGAGGCCTGGCGATGCTGGCGACAGCGTCCAGCTGCTCCCTCCCTCCCCGCAAGGGGCTGACAAGGGAGAGATGCTTAACTTGTGCTGAGCAGGAAGGCGGAATTCAGATGAACTGCCTCTGCAAGAGAAAAGCTGACCACAGAACTGGGCTCCAGGAGAGGGGACAGAAACATTCCGCCCAGGTCCTTAAGGAAAACCTGTTTCCCCTGGGATAAAATATATGTAAAACCCTCAGTTTTTACCACATTTGGCCCAAAGGGAAACCCTCAATAAACAGCAGTTAGTGTTATTTTCCCCTCTTGATCTTGTTTTTATAACAAAAATCACTGGCTCTGGCCGAATGGCTCAGTTGGTTAGAGCCTTGTCCTGATACATCGCAGTTACAGGTTCAATCCCCAGGCGGGGCACATACAAGAATCAACAGATGATGCATAAGTGGAGCAACAAATCAATGTTTCTCTCTCTCTCTCTCTCTCTCTTTCTGTCCCTCTCTCTCAAATCAATAAAATAAAAACTTTTTAAATGATAACATGTACTTCGTAAAATATAATACCACGCAGGAATAAAGAGGAATGAACTACTGATACACACAACACGGATTAATCTCAAAAGCATTATTATGAGCGAAAGGAGCCTTACACAAAAGAGCACACACTGAGTAAAAGTTCTAGAAAAAGCACAAGTAACCCACAGTACTACAGTTCATAACAGTGATCGCCTCAGGGCGGGAGGAGCTGACTAGAAAGGAACATCCTAGAACTTTTTGGAAAGACACAAACAGTCTGTATCTTCCTGGGGGTGGGGTGGGATGTTACACGAGTGTGTACAATTGTCAAAACCCAAACTGTAACCTTAAGATCTGTGCATTTTACGTAAATCATACTTCGACTTAAAAAGACACACACAAATATTTATGTCATGAACAAGATCTCCGAAGTACTTTTCCCATCCATTTTATTTACGTCTCCATAGCCACATCTCTGCACCCCAGGACAGACGTTATTAACATCTGACAGAGGAAGGAAATAAAAAGATCAGTCATGTGTCCAAATAGTAGCCCAGAATAGGCCACCTCAAAGCCAGGCCCCTGTCACCACCCCGTCCAGCTTTCCTAGGAGATCAAAGCCATTCACGCTCAGTGCCAGGCCTCCCTGTGCCCCCCCCCCCACCGACGCCTTACCAGGACTCGGCCGTCGGCCTTGGGCTGCCGGGCCAGGCTCACCCCCATCCACTCATCATCCCGGTCCTCCCGGCAGGTCTTTCCGCAGGACGTCCCCTTACTCTTCCCTGGCGGGAGAAGAGAGACACCAAGCATGGGTTAGGGAAAAGATGCCCCCCTGGCTGCTTTTCAAAGAGTGGTCCACCGCCCAAATGTCTGTAACCAGCTCAGGAGGAGACAAGGAACTTGAACAAAGTGTAAAATCGACTCTAGCGCCGTGTGTGCTGTTTAATTCAGCCACTGTATTTTCCATAGCAAGTCGTCCTTGGTGGAAGCATCGGGCTATGTTTGGAAGCAAGCTCCTGAATTTGTCACGCATCAGGAATAAACAGCTCGCCAACCGGTCGCTCTGAGTAGCGTTAGAGAAGCCCACGGACACCTCTCCCTTTCTGCTAAGGAAAATCACGACAACAGTTCATTTAAAAATAATAATCATTAGAAGTGCTTGATGGGAAAGGACTTTGGAGAAAGTGAGGAGCTGAAGTGATTATCATAAAGAATCTTCTTTTTTAACACTTTATTAAATTTATTGGGGTGACAGTGGTTAATATGAACATACAGGTTTCAGGTATGGGTTTCTATGTTGCAAGATCTGTATACTGCTCTGTGTGCCCACCATCCAAAGTCGTATCTTCTCCCATCACCATATATTAAGAACCCCTTCACACCCCACAAAAATAACTTCTACTTACTGAGTATCTACTATGTGCCAAGTACAATTCTACATATTCACCTCCATTACCTCACTTAATCTTCTCCAGGTAATACTGTGAGGTAGGTATCTTAGTCCTAAAGAGGAAACTGAAGCCAAAGGGGCTATAGGACATTCCCAATAAGTCCCAATTAGTAACTGGCAGAGCTGGGCTCTGAACCCAGGCAGATCCATCTGATTCCACCAGATCAAAGTGAGCTTTTTAAAATATCCATTGATGCCAGGCCAGTGTGGCTCAGCGGATGAGCACTAACCTATGATCCAGGAGATCGTGGTTCAATTCCCGGTCAGGGCACATGCCCGGGTTGCAGGCTCGATCCCCAGCAGGGGGAGTTCAGGAGGCAGCCGATCAATGACTCTCTCATCACTGATGTTTCTATCTCTCTCCCTATCCCTTCCTCTCTCTGAAATCAATAAAAATAGATTTTTTAATAAAATAAAATATCCATTGATCATATCTTTCCCTACTTAAAATATAAAACCTAAAATTGATTTTAATGGCTCCACCTTCATACACGGAATAAAATCCTGACACCTTCCACCAGCCTGCCTGGGTCCTGTGTGATCAGCCCCAGCCCACCCTGCAGAGCTCCTCTGCCTCCAGTCTCTCCTGCTCACCACTCCAGCCACACCACCCTCGCTCTGTATTGATCGTGGCACATGCTCTCCTCTGCTTGGAGGTTCTGCCTCCCTGCCTGCTCAGCTAACTACTGTGCACCTTTCCAATCATGGGCAGATCAAATACCCACCTTCCCTCTGGTCTTTTTGTTCTCAATTATTTGTTTTTAATGTCTCTTGTCCACTAATTTGTAAGGATGGCAGGATCTTTGTTTTCTCACTGGTATATCCTGGTGCTTAGTAAGTAACAGGTACTCAATACACGATCGATGGATGGATGGATGGATGGATGGATGGATGGATGGATGGATGGATGGATGGATGCATAGATGGATGCACAGATGGATGCATAGATGGATGCATAGATGGATGCATAGATGGAAGGGAGGGAGGGAGATGAAACAAGACCAGGCCACCCTAAGAAGAAAGAGGAAAGTATGGGGGTACAGAGCCCATTTCCACTACGGCAGGATGTCCACCCACCTCGAGCCATGTCCAGTTCGGTGCATCTCCGGTCAGGGTTGGTGTGGATGCGGCACTTAAACACAGCCCCCGGGGACTTCACTGACGTGCTGTACTTGGAATCTGCCTTTGGTGCACCCACAAGGACCCTGCACATCAAGAAGAAAGGGCATCCTGTCACAACCCAGTACCAGGAAAGAGGAGGCCACGGGCAGGCGGTCTGAATTCTCACTGGGAAACCATACTCCACCCCAGCGTTATACTGTGCTGGTGGGAAGGGGGGTGGGGCTCCCATAGTCAACCTGGTAGATGTTCTCCAGGCACATTTAAAGCTTAAGTTTGGTTGGAAACACATATAACCAACAAATGGTGCTTATCCAGAATCTATAAAGAACTCCTACAAATCAATAAGGAAAATACAGGTATCTAATATCATAATGGGCCAAAAACTTGAGTAGATACTTGATGAAAGACCATAACCAAATGGCCAATAAACATGAGAAGGTGCTCAATTATATTAGTTATCAGAGAAATACAAACAAGATATCACTTTACACCTACTACAAGGCTAAAACCAGGAAGACTGAAAATGCCAAGTGCTGGCAAAGCTATGGAACAATAGAAACCCTGCTGCTGGGAGTGAAAACCGTTACAGCCACGTTGGTGAACAATTCCGCAGTTTCTGAAAACACTGAACATGTGCCTAGGACCCAGTCATTCCACTTCTAGGAACATACCCAATGGAAATGCGGACGCATGCCTACAGGAGACAGGTACAAAAGCTTTCACGGCTGAATGCAGCAACGGCCAAAACCAAAGAAACCCAAAGGTCCATCAACGCTAGAATGGATAAGTAAGTTATGATACAGAAATACAATCGAATTCTATCCAGCAATGAAAATCAGTGAACATCACTCAACCACAACCACACGGATGAACCTCATAAACACAACACTGAGCAAAAGATGTCAGGACCTATAGCGCACTCACTGATGCCATTTACCTGAAGTTCAAAGCAGCTGAAGTTAACTGTGGTGTGAAAGAGCAGGATAATGGTTATCTCAGGGGAGGGACAAGGGGGGTTGTAGTCAGGGAGACAGGGCTTTCTGGGCACGCATGAAGTTCTACTTTTCAACCTGAGCAGTGTTCACAAGGATTGGTGATAATTCATTAGATTGTATATATGATATGGGCACGCTCCTGGATGTATTAGACTTAAAAAATAATGACGTGAATAAATAAGAAATTTAGAGATACCATTTCTCTTCTGGGTACCTCTCTTCCTCCTCACCACACACACCGTGCACATTTAGGGGACACAGAGAAGACGTAGCAATAGTGTAGAATCAAAAATGCATCCTCTATCCCAACACAAACCAGAGATGGAGTCGTCCACATGCAAACTGAGCAAGAATGCAGCTCTGTCCTTCCTCTTGAGCTGGAAAGCTGCCTTGCGGATGGGCCGTCCCCTGCACAGCCCTTCCCTGGGGGGAGGAAAAGGCACGACATGCCAAGAAGACAAAAAAGACACATTTGGGCCTGCGTGGGCACGGAACACAGGGGGAACAGCAGAGAGTTCCCTTCCAGATGTTATGAAAACAATTCTGACCTACAGTTTCATGCTCTGTTTCTGGAAAGCAGTCAACCAAAGAGCTACGGCAAAGAATACTAAACAGCACCAATCAGGCACAGTCTGTGCTGAGCTACGAGCCATTTGGAAAAGAACTTGTACGATGAGACTTAGACAAAACCTATACCAATGTTCTAAGCCACTGCTGTGTCTCTAGCGCCCGGAAAGGGGATGCAATTCCCCTCGGAAGGTATGAGGCACATTGTGAAATCGATCATCTCCACTTGCCTGGGAATAGAAAGCATTATTAGGTATCTGTGGGAAACGTGGCCAGTAGAGGTTAGAGTGACCCCAGACGGCCTCCCTGGGGGTGTGGAAAGTGGGCCCAGGCTCCCCTCACTTTGTCCTGAAGCCACCTTCACCTGGAGATGTTGGACACTCACGCTTCACCCGCACCCTGGCCTCAGAATGACGCTGCTCCCCGACCAACACTCTGGATGAGCAACAGAAGTCGGAGACCCTCAGATGGGCCTCCAGCAAAGGCTGGCAGAGATCACAAAGGACACCCACAGTAATATGACTCAGACACGTGGTATCAGTTCGTGGGAAGTCGAGTGGGTCCCGTCTTAATTGCCATTCCCCCATCCCCCAACACTCAGAGGGGTGAAGGATCTCTGAGGACACAAGGAGCCGGGGCGATCCACCCCTTCCTTGGAGTGCTTCCTTCAGGATCAGTGTTGGAAAGTCTGTGTTTGACTCTGTCAGGAATCAAGTCACACCCTGCTGGAGTGAGAGAGGAGCCAGGCCCCCAACAGGGAGGGCACCCAAGCGGCCCCACGGCCTCTCAGCAACACCCCGGGGAGCTGCCCCCCCAGCCTCACCACGGTGGGCCCCAGCTGCAGGATCTCCAAGCTGACGCAGCCTTTGGAAATCACAGCGAGCACTTTCCCAAACAGACCACAGCGCCTCTGTCGCCCACACAAGGGCAGTTTGGCTGGCTCTCAGTGGCTCTAACTCAAATGCACAATGACACACCAAACAAAACTCCAGTGAGAAGGAGGCCGTATTTAGGGATCAATTTCCCCCACCTTGCTTCTGGGGCTGAGCGTTAGAGCCCCCAGGGCAAGCCGAGGGTTGCTCTCTGAAAGGCCAGTTATGTTTTCACAGGTGAGAAGAATTAGCAGTTGGGCATATCTATGCAGCTGAAACGCCCACGCCTTTCCACGCGTCGGCCTGTCGGAGCCGGGCAATGTACAGAACGCCTCCTCCACTCAAGAACCCCCGTGGGACAGGGCTGGGTCTAAAAATTCCTACCAACTCCAAATTTGCATTAGCACAGTGAATAAACGCCACTTGCGATTCATTTTGTAAGAATGACAAAAGGGGGGATGAGCCTCATACAACAGCAGGCTGCTTCTCGATCGCGTCCCCCCAAATGGCACTGGAACCCTGGATGTTCCAGATGGTGGCTTTGCTCCAGATGCACAGACCCAGATTCACAGGTTACCCAAGCAGGAAGGGACCCGGGTGAGCTCGATCCCAGGCACTGCTTCTCTCAGCCTAGGGCGGAGACTGCGAGGGGCAACATTAAGACAGAAATCTAAAGTGGGGAAAGGACCAGTGGAATTATTTTTCCCTTCCAAGCCCAACGTACTCAATGGTTCTAACAACAATGGCTGATCAAGCACTGGTAACAACCCTCTGGTTCAAACCCTTAATCAGGTGGTCGGATTAGAAAGTTTTTCCCAAATCCTGTGCAATGGGAAATGAAGCAAGAGAGCAGGGGGCGTGTGCACCAGCACGTGCGCGCCCGGCCCACGGCTCACCGGGTGGCACGGTGCAGAATGAGCTTGTATCTCTGTGTTTACAGAACATCGTGGCTTCTTCCTCCGCTGCCTGGCGCTGCTCTTTACCTAGGCTGCCGGCCAGGGGGACTGCGGCTGCAGGCCAGCCGATGAGCTTGTCTTTTCTGAAGTCTGTTCAGCTGGCTGTTCGCCAGGCTGATCCCAAGAGATAGAGAGAGCACGATGGCCCAGGGTTCGGGACAAGCCACTAAAAAGATGCCATCTGCTTTTTCTCAGTCTTCTAAGTTATAAAGAGACATCCCAAATACTTCCAACACCCCACCAAATCTTCCTTGAGACTCTTGACGAGACAGTAAGACATTTCTTTCCTCTGTATGGTTACCATATAAAAAGGCCTGAGTGTCCCCCACCCCCACAGGCACCCACGAATAAATCATCAGGCTGATTCTGACCTTTGCTCGATACTCCCAGTGTGGTCCTCAGACCAGCAGCAGGGAGAACACCTGGGCGCTTGGCGGAAACGCAGACTCTGGAGCCGCATTCCCGGCCGGCTAAATCGGAATGTGCATTTGAACAGGCTCTCCAGGTAATTCAGTCTAAGAAGTAACTACCCATACCCCCGTGGGACAGGGCTGGGTCTAAAAATTCCTACCAACTCCAAAACCGATTACAAATAATCCTGTTCATTTGGAGCTGGTATGAAGAGGTGACCCTTGAGAAGTGAGGCTTTCGTCCTATGCCATCCCCAGTTAAAGATGCACTCAAACTTCAAAGACATCTTAGAGTCTCCTCATTAACTCAGAATTCTAGATTTCTAATCACAAGGACAACCAACACGGATAGGGCACCTGGAGTGTGCAGGCACCGGGCTAGGCCCCTGGTGGCAGCATCACGTCGAATCTTCACAGCAATCCTGTGGGAGACACTAATATTCTCCCCGCTGTACACATGGAGAAGCAGGTGGCCAGAGAAGGTCCCAGGACTTGCCTGAGCCCACCAAGCGTGGTAAGATGCCAAGCTGTAGCACGTACCCACGAATAGAGTGCAGTGCCCATTCCCCCATTCTGCCCATCCCATACCAGCCAGGAGGAGGAAAGGGGAACCAAGAGGTACCAAGTGCCCCCCAGTGGTGCCAGCTGCTCACACGGGTGACCTGCCTGAAAAAGCCCAGGTGAGGCTCTGCAGGTGGCTCCCAGGTGAGAACTTTGATGGGAAAGCTCCTTCATGCCAAAGGACAGACTGGGCTTTGGGACGGGAAGGTGGCTTTCTCCTCCCCATCGGGCTGAACTTCCAGCACCTTCTTGATTTTCTAAAACGTGTACATTACTGGCATGGGATTGTCCAGAGGTTTGCCCCTCTCAATGAGTAGTTCATGTACCTATTTAGAAATGTGGACCCATCTGTTCATCTGCCAACGCCAATTATACTCACAGTTTGTCTGATTATTGCTCATGGCAACCCTGTCAAGCACCCTCTTGTGTGCATTTTACTCAGAGATGGTGGTGACTTAGTTAGTAGGTGGCAGGGCTGGATTTGAACCCAAGGCATCAGTGTCCAAGGGCATGGTCTTTCCAGTCCCTCAAACTCCCTCCTATTGTGGCAGTTTACATGCCTTCCACACAGCCACTTCTTCAATTGGCCTGTGTGTGGTCCAGCTGGCTACAAAGGCTCCAGTCCAGCCACCCATCCTGCTCTGAACACATCCCTCACATCCTGAGGGTGAACTGCAGGTCTGTTCCCTGGAGAGCAGGTGGCAGAGAAGGGCTGAGCCATAGCTGCCTCTGGGAGCAGGCTCAGAACTGTGTCTCAGAGGCTCCCTCCCTCCCTCCCCACAAAGGCCACGGCTGTGCTTCTGCGGCCAAATTACAGCCAGACCCAGGACAGGAACTGGGGATTCCAAACCTTAAACCCATTAGGTTTGCTTTCATGCATTTGATCCCAAAGCCAAAGCATCCCCAGGGACCCACGTGGCCATTACAGGAGTGGAATTCAATCACTATGTTCACCGCACCGCATGGAAACCCCAGGAATCACTCCAGGTCCCTTAATCAACAAAAAACAGCCCAGAATCATGCAGAAAGAGCACCACCCCTGACGACCAAACCATCCCAGAGCAAGGAGACTCCCTGGGCCAGTGCTTGCCAACTGGGGGTGTGGAACCTGAAAAACCTCAGAGGCACCTCCTTCGACACTTGAGGAAACTGAGGCTCCAGGTGGTTAAGCAGTATGTACTAACTGCTTTTAAGTGTTTTAAAGTAGTCGTGCCGCCTGAATTCTAAGCTCCAAGGGCAAATTACTCAGGGTGGGGAAGTTAAGAAGCACAGGGGTAACACAGGATTCAAATTCTGCCTCTACCAGTGATAAGCTGTGTGACCTCAGGCAAGTGTCTTAAACACTCTGAGCCTCAGTTTTCTTCCTCTGTAAAATAGAAGGAAAATGTACCTACTAAGGGTTCTTGTGAGGTTTAAGCAAGATGTTTATAAAGCGCCCAGCATGGGGCTTGGTACAAAGTGGTAGTTCGAAGAAGTGTTAGAATGCTGGGCACTAGGCCAAAAACCTTGGCACCCAACTCGTCACAGCTCCACCTCCTGGCAGCACCCCAGGAACTCACAGATCCTTAGAACCTCAGTCCCTTTTCCAGTGTGCCGGGCAGAAATTTATTCAGACTGTCAGCTAAGGTTGCAGAAATCCAGGGATGGCTAGGACACTTTCAGCACTGGTAGTAGATTGCAAAAGTAGCCACGATTCTCCACCCTTCCTGTATCCATGTCCTTTTCAATGTGACTTTGCAGCTCTTTCCATTAAGAGATGGAATCCGTTTCCCCTCCTCTTGAATGTCGGCTGGCCCTGTAACTGGCACTGGCCAACAGAATGTGACAG